TTATCTGGAAGAGTGACTCATCTTTCCATAAAGTAATAAATACTGTACCTGTAGAGCTTGAGAGTGACTGTTCCGTATACAGTGGCAAACCCGAGCAGACGGACCCATCGCAGCAGGATACAGCGGAAAACACTTGGCTGGAAGTACAGGATCACCACCTGCAGACATTCAAAAGGAATATTTATTTTTTAATCTGTTTTTTTAAGTTCCCTTCTCAGATGAAAGCTTTTAATAAGCTCTAATAATAGACTCCTGCTCCTTTTTTCCTGGATTACTGTTTAAAAAAACAATACAAAAAATAAATGAAGTAATTTCAAATTAGCTGGAAGCACAAATCAGAAATGTAAAAATTCTAAGTGACTTTTAAACAAGTTTTCTAAATGATCAACTTAAGCAGGGTACATCTTTATTTGCCGTTTCCCTACTCTTTTCGTCTTTATAGTACATTTATTATATGGTATAATACTGAATATGCAGACAGTTTTGTGTTGTAAAGTTTACTGACTGCTTGACAGAGTACATCATTTTGATCATTTTGTTTATTATTTGAGAGCTTTGAACAGAGTTTTGAGGCAAAAGTTTCATTTTGCAAGAGGGTTTGTTAATAGTGCTTGAAGATGAGGTTTTGTGCTTAATGATATCAAAAAATGGAGAAAGAAATTCAGATTCAGAAATTGCGTTTTAGCAATCGAGAAGAACTGTAATAATTGACTGTAATGTAAAGTTTACACACCTTATTTTTAACACTGAAAAACAACATCTCCACTTTATACATTCTTTACAAGGAACCAAGGACTAACCCTCCTTTAACAGCTTTTTTTTTCTGGGTACACCTGGATGTCCATTAATCACAAATTCACTATTCATTTCTCCGCTCATCACTCTCTCTAGACCAACATCAAGCCTTGAAACCTGTTACAAAACATAAACAATCTCTATAATGTGTCTGTGATGTGCTCTTCCATTGATCTAGCCATCTATCATCCTTATCTGTCACAGTTCCCAAAGCAAAGCCGTCAGCTGCCATGCGAATTCCAGCACATCACACACACACACAGAGAGAGAGAGAGAGAGAGAAATCTGTATTATAGTATGTTTCCCATCTTTTTGCGCCCCCTGGCGGCATTGTCGCAAACTTTTACGCCTAAAAACATTTTAAAGGGTCACGAAATACCAAAACAGAGTGAATGCAGCCTAAGTTACCGAGGAATGGGGACGTTTTTTCTTCCATTTGCTGTGCGGTACCAAACATTCCATTAAAACTACACTCGTCCGGCAGTTCCTCGCCTACAATATCTCATTTGTCATGGGTGTATGCATGAAATGTTCCTGAATGAAAGTGCCAAATTGCAGTTAAAATAGACAAATGAATAATTTGGCGAATAATTCAATTACTGATGTCCATGTAAACATGGTCACTGTCTTTCTCCACTGCGTATGTGTGTTGTTTTGTCTTTGTGAACATCTGTGTGTGCTCGAACCGAAAACTCTCGTTTTTATGCAAACCCTTCCTCTTTCCTTCCCTTGACACTCCCACCTAAACAGAGCTGGACACACCCACTTTCCTGACTTTTTTTAAAACTAGAAGGTGAGATAGGGTGGGGTATCATGGTGCTTTAACAATCCCTTTGTCCCGTGGCCACCATTGTTATATATACAGTTTATTATTATTAATTATTATTGCTTTATCCTTAAATGTTGATATACGTAAATATACGGTTACTGGTTGTTTTTGTTTTCTTTAATTCCTACTATATCAATGGTCTTTAAATGTTCTATTTATTGTAAACAGGACAAATGCTTTGGCAATACATATAACATTTGTCATGCCAATAAAGCAAGTTTTAATTGAATTCAACTGAACTGAACTGAGAGAGAGCGAGGCTGAAGGTGAACTGTAATTAAAGCAGACTCTCCCAGCTGTGCCGGCGTTTTGGCCTGGGCTCAATCTCTCCATGTGCAAACAGTGACGCGCCGCGCTGTGTGTAATCTAATAACAACAGTCTGCTCACTGCTCAGGAAGCTCCATTATTGGATTGATTATGGAAAAAGGATTCAGAGAGGATGAATTGCACCAGTGCAGACACTTCTGTCATAATTAAGCTGGGGGAAAAAGCGAATGACAGGCACATCTGTAGGGGGTGCTCCGGCAGACCCCCACGGTTCCCTCAAACATGAGATGACATTAATCTTGGGCATGATTTAATAGTGAAGTTATAGGCCATTAAATATTTATTCTGCTTTATATAGCCAAGTTGATAAACACTTTTTGCTTTTCATTTATCTCTTCGCTCAACAGTTTTCTTCTTCTTATTTTTTTAATATATAAAAGTATGATACAACCACCTTTTTTTAGTAACGAGTAATCTAATGAAGTACTGTTTCCCCTGTTACAACACCATTACCGTCACTGATAATAAAATGCGCACTGCTATAATTGAGATCACTGAATTGGTTTTCATGCAAGCAGCGTTTCTCTCAGCCACAGGACCTCTCTTTCTTTGGGGTGTGTATGTGTGTGTTAAGCTTAAAGTTTAAAGGTAATGTTTGCGTATAATATAAGCACTACATTTCCTTCGCTGAGCTGAAAGGCAAGAATATTTATGTAGTATATTATGCACAGGAAAAAAAAAGAGTCTCTCTGCGTTAGTGACAAGTAATTCTAATCTAATGAAGCACCTCAAGGCGTCACATGCTGCCACTAAATTAGTGGCTACACATGCGATAACGTGAACTCTGCTACTGAAGGAGGAGACAAAGCCTTGACGGCACAGCAAATAAAACTTAACTTTTCTCAACCGCAAACACTTATTACTCAGACAGAATTGAACAAAGTAATATTTTGATATATAGTAGAGAACATGCTGCTGTTGTCTCTCACATTGTCCCACAACAACATTACAATAGAGTAGATAACGTTTTATATTTATTTTATAGTCATGCCATTAGATTAATTTTTTTAAAGTAACACAGTAGTCACTTTCCCTGGTAATTGTTACATTTATAATTATGTAACTCCGTTACTAACTCAGTTACTATTTGTGGGAAGTAACTAGTAACTATAACTAATTACTCTTTTAAAGGAATGGGCTGAACACTGGGTAATTAAGTTTTAGTATTTTGAGATTCACAAGTGTTTTCTGTTTATTTACAGTTGTGACTTGCATTAAGGGGGCCTTGATCTCTTTGTCAATTTCTGATGTTGAAAATCAACTCTATAGTTTAACAAAGTGACTTTTGGTTGGTCATTTAATATAATATAATGTATAATAAATAATAAATAAAGAAATACATTTGTAAAATAACAAAAAATGTATACTGGCAGTTAATTAAAAGGCTTTGTACCATATCATACAACACCAACCCAGATATTATATCACTTTAAACTATTACAAATGTTAATAAAAGTGACTTTTATTAAACTTTTTAGGGATAAAAGTTATTGGAAGAAAGATCAAGGTTCATAATGCAATTCAAAATTCAAAAGAAATAAATGAGGAAAGAAAAAAAAGGAATCACAAAATACAGAAAACGGGAGAATTTATTTATTTATTTATTTATTTTTTCAGTGCAGCCACAAAATGAGGTGGAATGCAACAGTACTAAATTAATTTAAAGCAAAGAATTACACATTGGGGATACAAATTATAAATAAAATAAAATAAAATAAAATAAAATAAAATAAAATACATTTAAATTAAATTAAATTTATTAATTTTTTTTTTTTCAGGTTCAACCTAAAATGAGTCTGGATTACCCGAGGGATGCATATTCATTTATGAGTACTCTTTTAATTTGAATAAACTACTTTTGCTACAAACTTTTCCCATCTACATTACATACGTAGGAAAGATTCCGGAAGCAGCCATAATCGTACAAAACATGTGCACTTGATGTCTTCATTACTTGAGATCCATTGTTAGTATTTTTGTGTGCCCACTCGACGAAAGAAGGCAAGAGTGCAATTTAAGATAAGGCCAAACATATATAAAAAGAGGCAAAAAGGGATGTAAAAAGTTCAACTCAGATAATTTTAATGACCCCTTTAAATGCACTTTTGACATCCTGTGGGAAACGAATGTGTTGTGTTTTTGAAGATGAAGGGAATGTGTGTGTGTGTGTGTGTGTGTAATAGCTGTCTAAGATCCAAAAGCGGTGTGTGTGTGTTGTGCTTGTCAGGGGAGCATCCAGTCGGCCAGCTCTTAATTAGAACTGGGAGTACCACACGCCTCCAGCAGAACTCTCAACAGTTTGAACCAGTCACTGACAAACCATGCAAAACTAACACTTTACACCTCCTCATAAATATCCGATGTGAAGTAAACGGCACTAGATTTGAAGGATTACTTCATTGTTCATTCATTTTTCTTCAGCTTAGTCCCTTATTTGTCAAGGGTCACCATTGTGGAATGAACCGGCAACTATTCCAGCAAATGTTTTATGCAACAGATGCTCTTCCAGCTTCAACCCAGTACTGGAAATCACCCATACACTCACTGATTCACACACACCCATACACTAAGGATAATTTAGGTAATTCAATTCACCTATAGCGCATGTCTTTTGACTGTGGCACCCAGAAGAATCCAACGGGAGAACATACAAACTCTCTGAAATGCCAACTGACCCAGCCAGGACTCAAACCAGCTATGTTCTTGCTACGAGGCAACAGTGCTAACCACTGAGCCACCGTGCCACCTACTTCTGTATCTTAGGGAGTCAGATGACAATGACGGTGAGGGTCCAAGCAAAGTTTATTAATAGCTTAGTCAGGCAGGCAATGGTCAAACAGAAATAAACAGATACATTAGGTTAATCTAAAATCGTAGTCGTGGTCACTGGCGAAAGGTCGGTGCAGGAGACAAACAGCATGGACAATACCAAAAACAGGGGTCAAAAGCCACAGTAGAACAAGGCAAGGAAAACACATAGACATGTTACCAAGACTTAGCAACGTGTTTGTTTTTGAGAGCTGAATATTTAGTTCAAATAATCAGTCCATGATGAGTTACCAGTTGTGTGTGTGTAATCAGGAATAGAACTGGAACTGGTGTGTGTGTGAGGTGCGCGATGGGATTTAAAGTCCAGTTCCTTGACAGCTTTGAAGCTCTCCAGCGATCTGCAACTGCAATCGCCGTTGATCGCGATAACTTCATAG